CCCACAGGAGCACTGCACGGACCCTCTGCACTGGGAAGACGGAAGAGAGCACTCACGGCACCGGAGCACCTACCTAGACCTTTCTCACTATCACCCAGCACCCCAATAAATCCACCCTCCAGGGTATTGATGGAGATTACTTGTCGTGTGATTCTTCACCCCATTACAATATTTTAAAAGCAGCATCTATCTGGGCTGCTCATAGGGTTGTTTTCCAATGTCATGGTTAATATTACCAGATAAAACCAACTCAATACACCTGTCAGTAAGCTCTAAACAAGTTCTGAGTGAGAATTCCTTGAATTCAAAGAAAAAAACACAGACTACAGTACATTGATATTCCGCTGCCGCTAATGGACCTGTGGCTAAGTCTCTTGAGAAGAAATTAGATGATCAAACTATCATTTCCTCCTCATCCGCTGATGATAAGAACACCTTGCTGAAAATGTCTAAGTGAGATGATGCATCATAATCAGACACAACAGGCAATGCTAAATGGGTATTGGCACATCACATCAATTAGCATTATTGCTAAGGTAATTGAGAGGAGCACAGCAGGAGATTAAGTTTTAATCTTTCGCACATGGCACAAAGGCAACATCAGTTCCTGCACCGCTGCGAAGCCTTGCAAGAATCACAATATAAGCAGGTAATGAAATCTGAAGCCTGCCACTTTAGGGGATATAAAATGTCTTCTAGCCTGTCTCACAGACATGTCTAATTCATGCCACAGATAAATCACCCACGATTTACATGGGAGAGATAGAGAGACAGAGGAAAAGGAGAGGAGCGAGAGGGAGAGGGAGAGAAACAAAGCAGCAATCAGCAATCCGACTGCATCATCTTAAAGCAGGTGTTGAGAGAAGAAAAAAAAAAAACTTGAAAAAATGAGACAGCCTTGGAGTGAGAGGGTAGATGGTATGCATTCTGCAAGTGTATCAGCCAAATCGGGAGACGCATACTAATGCCTCTATGATTAAACACAAACTCGTTGCTCCATTCAAATTCTCACATTGCACCGCTGTTGCAACAACGTTCGCGGGGTCTGGCAGATGGGCTGCTATTACAGAGCACATCAAGAACAAATAATCTTTATATGCCGGCGGTCGACATTGCTCATTTGTTGTAAGGACATTTCATGGGCATAAATTTGTAGGGAAACAGAGGAGACATTTAAAACATTCATTACAAAAAATCACTTCAGAGGGTGTTGGCAGGGTGCTCAATATTTCTGGTATAATAGCCAAGTTAATGTTCATTTATAAATATAATATTGTTCAAAGTTAATTCATCTTTTTTCATATTACATTAATGTTAATTTATACAACTTGAAATGTCAAAAAATGTATAAGCAGCATGCGTTCAAAAGTTTGAGCTGTCAATTCATCAAAAGAAAGCACAACCATTTTCAAAATTTTTGATGATCATAATAAAAGAAAATGTTTCTTGAGCAACAAATCTGCACATTAGAACAATTTATGAAGGATCATGTGACACTGAAGACTGGAGTAATGGCTGTTGCTATATTAAAATAGAAAACAGTTTTTTATTGTATTAATCTATATTTGTATTAGATTTATTTTTAATCAAATAAATGCAGTCTTGGTGAGCTTGAGACTTAATTAAACAAACAAAAATATGGTTATATGTACAATATAACAATATGGTTTTAAATTGTTAACAATATGTGACCTGTGCTGGCAAAATGAGTCACAATGAGCAAATTTTAAAAAATGAGTTATTTTTATTTTTACATTCTCTATTAAAAGACATTCAAAATTATGTATGATTTGTTGGAATCGGACAAAGCTACACCTGTTTGTCGTTGATGAAGTCAGCAAAGTAAATTTAGAGAAAACCTGATTTAAAGTTTTCTGAAGGTTCCAAAGCAAAATCACCCAGGAACATTACATCTTTTCCCCCACTTCTTTTCTAAATAATCATTACTAGATTAATAATCACAATATAGCTATTTTTTTATTTTATCTTTGTTGTTATAAATAAGAACCAATGCAAAAAAATAACAAATATAAGAAAGAAACAAGTGTAGCCTATAGTGTATTACTTTTTAAATTTTACATCTAAACAGAAGCATTCGAATAAGAAAAAACAAACACTAAAATGTAAAATTCACTTAAGTGTGTTCATTACAAATAAATTATTAAAACTACAAAATCAGTTCAATCAAGAGTAGCGAGTTATTCCCTCTTTTCTTTTATGGTTTGATTAACATTAATGTGACAGACAACCAATATTAAGATGTAGTGTAATGCACGGATCTAATATAATGTTACACATCCGATGTTTTTCCCCAACAATTCCCCAAATATTCACTTAAGACATAACAGTTTATGTTTGCTTGAACACTTAAATACCGTAATTCTGTGTATATGTGTATATTTATTGGGATAGAGCGCTGGCGGAATGCTCCTCTCAGAAAATGTACAAATAAAGATACTACTATTATTTGGAGAATTGGGATCGCTTGACAAGGGCTTAATGAAATCATTTTTGTGAAAACCTCAAATTCGACATGTTTCACTTTTTTTGGCCTGTAGCTCAGAATTAGACTGTGCACATTCCGACTCATTTTGCCAGCACGGGTCACATATTTAATATGCATCATGGACTAACAGTAATAATACATTAGAAATATTCATTTCAACACACTTTACCATAAAAAGTTTTGGGGATTGGTAAGGTTTTTGTACTGTTTGTTTTTTAAAGCAGAATATGAGAATCTTTGGAAAAGAACATTTATTTTAAAAAAGAACATGATAATAATACACCTTCAGCAGAAAGAAAACCTTGATAATGCATTTGCTATATTCAAGGGAAGTGAAAAGCATGAGAGAGAAAAAGAGAGACGTTTCAAGAGCACTAACCTCCAGTTTGAGATATTCATTCTGTTCTTTAGACAGCAGGCTGAGGATAGAGCTGCTATGTTTGCGTGTCCGGACCAGGACCTGAACCTGCGTGTGTCTGGCCGGGAGCGTGAAGGCCAGCTGAAAGTGTATGTGACTCCTTCCATCAAATGAATACTCCGGGACCTCTGTGAAACACAAATGTGTTCTTCAGATGCGGTCCTTAAAAAAGGATGCATAAACAGTGAAAAACGCCCTGGGAGAATATCACAGGATGTTCCAGTCGTGTTACATAAAGAAGCTCTACAAATTCACAACACTTCTGAATGCGATTTGTGCCAAGATTCGGTGTGTGTGAAAATCCTGCCTGGGTGCTAACACTATCCCTCCTACACAGAGCAATTCAAAGATATTTGCTGCCCCACTGAAAAGCCTTCACACACACACACACACACACACACACACACACACACACACGCATACGCATACGCATACGCATACGCGCACGCGCACGCGCACACGCACACACACACACACACACACACACGCACGCACACGCACGGACACACACGCACATACGCACACACACGCACACACACAGTTTTCACATCCATTCAGTCATTCACTTTAGCAATGACTTCTTATCTGCTTTATCCTTGATGACTCAGTCTTTCTCACATTCCACTTGTGGAAACAGACATGGCTTGAAAACTTTGGGACAACTGCTGAGTAATTACCCTTTTCACACTGATGCCCGCTGTACCCAGGTATGCACTGACAGCTGAAGGAACCCCACTCTCCATGGCAGCGCCCCCGGGTCCCGCAGGAAGGAAAACCCATGTTCACACAGCTATTGTCCGTCATCAGACATCCCGGAGCACTGCCAGAGGAGTCAGCTGGTGAACCGAGGTCATAAAACTGAGAGAGAATCAAAGTGAGAGTTACACACTAACAGAAGTCACGAAAACACTGAGAGCAGCAGGGAAAAAAAAGAGAATAAGCTAGTATAAATAAGGCAGAAAATAATGGTCAGGATAGGCCAAACTGGGAGGCCTTGAAAAGATGAGATGAAAAGAGAAAGAACGTTTTATCTTATTTGTGCATTCACTTTTAATCCAGCCTGCCATAATGAATATTGCCATGCTGTGCAGGCCACAGCCACTTAAAAAAGCTGGCCTGTAGTGCTCTGTATTAACAGAATGGGGAAACCTTGAGGCCTTAAATTCTCTTCACAACAGAAAAACCACGCACCACATTAGATCAATTTTTCCTTTCATCTGATAACTCCCATTTATTCATGCCCACTCTTCCCAATGACGTGTTTTTGAAGTGGTTGCAGCATGAGTTTGACCCTGTGCGGGAACCGGTTGCACCTTGTACAGACAGATAGCACGGCTGATTTACCAGCACAGTTAAATAAGCAAAGGGGCTGCATTAATTCCACTGAACTGCTGTTTGTCACTATTATTTCACATTAGACAGGTTGGTTTATTGTCATTTATTTCCTAACAAAGGAAGAAGTCAAATACAGTGTCTCCTGAGCCACAGTTTGGAAACATTGAACCTCTAACACTTCCCACACGTGACCTGGCCATCGGACGACATTAATAACACAGAGAGAACAATAAATACAGACAATTTACAATAAAGCCACTTGTCAATAGTGAAATTCAGCAATATTATATTTCTGAATAATGACAGTTGTTGTTGTCGTTGTTGTTTAAATATATTACAATAGAAAACAGGGTAACACTTTAGTATATTGAGGGACCAATCATCACTATTAACTAGCTGTTTATTAGCATTCCTATTATTAACATATTGGCTGTTTATTAGTACTTATAAAGAACATATTCTGCATGACCATATTCTACATCCCTAATCCTACCCAATACCTGAACTTAACAACTACCTTACTAACTATTAGTTTGTTAATAGCAAGAATTGGACCTTAAAATAAAGTGTGACTGAAAAGAGTTGTTTTAATTTGTAATCATATTTCACAATACTGTTTTTACTGCATTTTTAATTAAATGAAGGCAGATTTGATAAGCTTAAAGGAACACTCCACTATTTTTGAAAATAGGCTCATTTTCCAACTCCCCTAGAGTTAAACAGTTGAGTTTTACCGTTTTCAGCCGATCTCCGGGTCTGGTGGTAGCACTTTTAGCTGTAGCTTAGCATAGATCATTGAATCTGGTCTGACCGTTTGCATCTCGCTCAAAATTGACCAAATAGTTCTTCTATTTTTCCTATTTAAAACTTGACTCTTCTGTAGTTACATCGTGTACTAAAACCGAAGGAAAATGAAAATTTGCGATTTTCTAGGCCGATATGGCTAGGAACTATACTCTTATTCCGGCATAATAATCGAGGAACTTTGCTGCCGTACCATGGGTGCAGCAGGCGCAATGATATTACCCAGCACCTGAAAATAGTCCCCAGCACACTCCCTGTGCAAGCAGGTGGTCACGTTGGTTATGTTGACGGAAGTTAGCCTATTTTCAGGCACTGCGTAATAATATCATTGCATAATATCACAGAGCATCTGTGGCGCCCCAACGGTCAGACTAAGGGACAGGTGAAGAAGTGAAGGGTGAAGAAAGTCTATTTTGAAGCAGTGGCACCTATGATGTTGTAATAAGGAACATTTTGTAAAACTTTCATTGTGACCATTAGTATCGTTTGGTGAGAAATACAACTTGATTTTCTTGTACTAGTGTCACGCCCCTGGACTCTTTGTGTTGTGTTTTCCCTCCCCAGGTGTGCTGTGTGCCCTTTAATTAGTCATTCCTTGCACCTGTGTTTTCCCAATCACCCAGTGTTTAAAAGCCCCAGTCCTTTCAGTTAGTGTTTGTCGGTCCTCAAACGTCATTCCTTGTGTTCCAGTGTCTCCTACGTTCCCCGTGTGATCATTAAAGACTGTGAATTGAAGTTATCTCCGTGTTTCCTCGTTCCTTGCCTCCCGAGAAGTGTGACACTAGAGTGACTTTTTCATAGTTATTGCTTTTTCATAGTTATTTCATAGTAATTTGCTGTGGGGTTTTTTTTGTGTACACCTCTGAAAGGTCTGTCTTTTCACTGTAAGGTTAAGAGTTCGGTTTATTCTCTTGCTTAAGTCTGGTTTTAATGAAGGACTGTACTTTCTCTTGTATGATTTCACGGCTCAAGCAAACCTGTGTGACCTTTTAAGTAACATACTGTAGTTCCCTGCATGTACCTCCCAAATTGGCTCAGTAAATGGCATAATATCCTCAAATCTTAAAACCACGTTGCCATGCACCCCATAACACTGTGTATTTGCCACCAAAAAAGCCTACTCAGAATTCTTACAGGTCAACAACAGGGAGAGAGCAAGAGGAAGTAAACTATTTGAGAAAAGAAAGTGGGCAGAAGAGAGTCTAAAATAGCAATTCTACCTCTGTCCTTCCTCCTCTAACAGTCTATGACCTGCTTTCCAGGCAAGCCACAGTAGCCTAAGTGAACACTTCTGTGCTGTTTCTTTGTGTCTGGCGACCACTGGTTAAGTGTTTTAGACTCAAGAACCTTCAACTGAGTCATGATGTTAAAATGAGAAACAAACAGTCACCCACTGTAACAAACCTTGACATAACGTGGAGTGAGATCACAGATCGGCTTAAGACTATGGCCAGTGGCACGGTCGATTATACCTCACTTCAAATAACACTTCTTGGAAAGAGAAAGTGTGAACTAGGCAGTACACAGCTTATAATCAAATCTCTTTTAGCAGCTAAATAGTTAAAAGTACATATACTGACAGAACTACGCTGGGACATGTATTAGCAATATCTATGGCTGGTATATTTGTGAGTAGTGCTGGCAAAATGAGTCACAATGAGCAAATTTTCAAAAATGAGTTATTTCTATTTTCACATTGTCAATTAAAAGACCTTCAAAATGATGTATGATTTGTTGGAATCGGACGAAAAATTACTGAGCTACACCTGTTTGAAGTTGATAGAGTCAGCAAACTCAATTTTGAGAAAAATCAAGTTAAAGTTTTCTGAATGTTCCAAAGCAAAATCTCCTAGCAACATTTTATCTTTTCCTCCAGTTCTTTTCTTCATAATAATTACTATATTAATAACCACAATATATGTATTTTTTTATCTTTGTTATTATAGATATTATAAATGTTATTTTATCTTTGTTATTATAAAAACAGATGCAAAAAAAAACAAAAAACAGTAGAACAAATATAAGAAAAGCAAAGAATGCATTACCTTTTTCATTCAACATCTAAACAAAGGCATTCAAGTAAGTAAAACTAATAATCAAATGTAAAACTCCCTTTAGTGTGTTACAAATACACTGATAATTAAACTACAAAAGCAGTTCAATCAAGAGCAGTGAGTGATTCCTCTTTTCTTTTATTGTTAGATTAACATTAATGCAACAGACGGCCTATATCAAGACCTACTATAATGCACGGATCTAATATAATGTTACACATCAGATGTTTTTCCCCAACATTTCCCCAAATGTTCACTTAAGAGATAACAGATTATGTTTGCGTGAATACTTAAAAAATGTAATTCTGTGTATACTGTATATGTATATTTATCTGGATTGCACACTGCCAGAAGCACCTTTTATGCGGGCGAGAAGGGAGCAGAGAAAAGGTACTCCCCTCAGAAAAAGTACAAATAAAGATAATTGTGTTTAATTAATATTTGGAGCATTGGGATCACTAGTCGAGGGCTTAATGAACTAATTTTTGTGAACAAACTCAAATTCGATGAAAATCAATATTTTTCAGTTTTTTGCGTGTAAGCATTCCAACTCATTTTGCCAGCACGGGTCACATTTGTTACAAAAAACACTCAAAACTGACAGTGGACACAACCCTAAAAAGTCATGACATGTTTTCTTTTTTTTTTTCCTTCTGTCTTTGCTCATCTAAAAAGGGACAGCATAAAATACCGTTATTTTGAACTTTCTGTTCATCGTCAAGAATCCTGAAAAAATTAAGCATGGTTTCCACAAGAAGTTTAAGAAGCACAACTGTTATCAGCATTGATGAATTCATAAAATAGGCTTTTGTCACCTCCAGACCAAGAACAACCAGAGAGAAAAACTCTCGTACACCAGTCAAAGTCATAATTGTGATGTGCATAATAAAGCTTCTTTATCTTTTCTTCTTCCCTCACTCTATCACTGTTTTCGTCTTCCCTCACTCTATCAAAGATTCATCTCTGTTTATACTGATATGCATGCATTTCCTCACCTTGCTGTCCACAATGAGGTTTCGGATACAGCCAGTAAAGTGCTTGTGTTGTAGTTGAGGGTAGATATATGGCAGGTTCTCATTCACTCCTCCTAGCTGAAGCACCTGTGTCATGTTCAGATGCCTGAAATCGCATCAGAGGATGTTGTTACCCTAGCCACTTTTGCTTCTCTACCACATGAGTTAATAATGTGCTGTATGCTATGGAGAGGTCATTTTTCACTAGAGATTAACTCTGATAATTAATTTGACCTTTTAGATTGAGACATTTGTGTAATTGTAAATGTTTCAAGACATTATCGAGTCAGTAACTGGCATGAGGCTCATATGTAGAGTGAGAAAGAGTATGTAATGATTGTTTCATTGACTTGTTCTCTGTGACCTGCTATCAAGGCGGAAGAATGATTTCTTTAGCACTCAAATTTTAATGGTCCATCAGGGCCATATTTTTTAACACTTTAAACAATAATGCATTGGTGTGAAAAGAGAAATAAATGAAGTGATTTACTTGTCCATATTTGGTGTGATGCCAGTAACTTCACAGGAAGTGTGGTCTTCAGTAGTTAGCCAGCTGCCCACTCCCTCCATCTCCATGATAGTGGCTCCTGCGCAGCGGTCAAGTGTAAAACGAACCTCCTGAAGAAGAAACGTGGGTGAAACTTCTTGAACATTTGACTTCCATGAAACACCATTGATTGGGAGCATATTAAACATCATGGTCTGAGACCATTTAATGTAGTACTTTTTAAATAAACCTCTTATTTCCCCTTCTGATCCATGTAATATATTCCTCTGGTCAAAACCTTGTTGCTGCATATTATTGAAGCTGTATCTCATAACATTCTCAGAAACGTGACTGGTATCCATTCTGCTAATGTTATTTCTGTTTGGGTTCAATTTGACCTCATCAAAAACACTGCTGAAAAATAGAATAAAATAAATAAATTGGTAGAAGAGGTAGAGTGTGTATTGGAAAATATGGAATGTAAAAATTCATTGGACTGATTCATGTGTCTGGGTGCTCCGATACACTAAACAGAAATAATGTAATATTTTCAAAAAAGTCCTAAGTATCATCCAGATACGTCAATTTTAGGTACATAGTTCAAGCTTCGTCCTTGGGTCACTGAGACCTCATACAAAGATGAGGTTTGTTACTCTAAAAAAATGCTTTTTTTAATGCAACCCTTTTTGGTTGTTTTTTTGACATAGTGTTGGGTCAGTTAACCTATTGAATGATTTTTCATTTTAAATAATAAAAATGTACTCTAAAATCTGAACAGTTTATATACAATATTTTTTATTCAATGGCAATTCAGTCTTTTACAATCATAAAATACTCAGTAACCATTCAGTAAACTATTTAAGATGGGACAGGAGCAGCAAAAGCAGCCAATAGGAATCTGTGGGAAGAAAACTGCTATCAGTGGGCTGTTACAGTTCATAAATGACAATCTTATATATTCATGTTTGATAAGTTACATCAAAAACAGCTTTACCTCATGCCATCTGGTCTGTCAGACATTTAAGTTTCAACCTGTCAAACGCATAATGCGGCCACAGTTGCGTCGCTAGAGCACAGGATCAATATCGCTCCTATTTTAGTCAGTGGAGCGCACAGAAACTTTGTTACATATAACAGCAAAGTCGCATTGTGTTTAGCCCTGGTCGCACATTTGTAGATCCAGTGGATGCAGTGTTTGTAGAAGGATAGTGTTCCAAGCAGATGTCAGCTGCAACATACATTTAAACAAAAAAGTAAAAATGTGAGACTACAGACGTTTTCCTATTTGTACAGTAATAATTTGAACGGAATACAATGTAATACAAACCTTAATTTCATTCAGGAAGTTTCCTATCAGTCAAGTTCTCTCAGGACAGAACACAAAATGACCATTGATAGATGTATCCAGTTTTAACCAGTTTGGCACAGTTGGGTAAAAATAATAAAATATTAAAAATAACCTAATAAAATGACCCAAAAGGCTGAACCCAGCATTTGGGTTAAAAAAATATATATATTTAACCCAGTATTTTTTTAGAGTGTATATACACATACACAGACAGACGTATGCAGAACATGGATACAAGGATATTTCACTCAAAATGAAAATGCTGTTATCATTTACTCATCCTCATGTTGTCCCAAACTTCTAACCCAAGTCTTCTGGAGCTCAAATGTGATTGCTTGATGTGAGATCCAATGAGGTTTATTCTCATACACTGACCATATTTGATATGCTCTGCATGTGTGTTGATCAATGTTTATGTGTGCATAAAATCCTAAATGAAATCTGTTCATCATATAAAGCAACCATGTCTCTAAACTGCTTGATTAATATGGATTAATTTTACCATGTTTTCATACATTTTTTAAAGCGTAAAGCCTAAAATTGGCTCAAAATAATAAAAATCTTTGATATCCTGAAACTAAAAAAATCAGATTCTGTTCCAATCATACACTACCTGATTTTCTGTGAAATCCGTCAACTACGACAGATCAATATCTGTAGACTGGTTCTGACTTTCAGTAAATCAGGGCAAAAGCCATTAAGTGTATTCCAGCCTTAGATGTCCGCTTATACAGAAACACAAGTCAAGAGCTCTTTCTCTCTGAGATCTTCAATGCTGGAAGAAGCAACAAACAAAAAAAGGTGTTGTCTTTCCTCACACTTCACCCTCTTTCTCCACTCTCTGTAGAGGCTAAACCCTCAGGCGTGGTAATATTAAACACATAGCATGTCAAGATGCTAAAAGCTCCAACCTGCAATGTTCCCTTCACACCCAGCAGGACGCTTGCATCCTGTTTGTATTGAACAATAAGCGTTATAATTTCAAGCAATTTCAGACTGACCCTAAGGCAAATTGCACCACGGCAAGACTACATGCCAGTGCTACTACAGAGCCTAGCAGCAACAGAGTAGCTGCTGAATCTAAAACAGTCCTGGCAACACTGAATACAAATTAGCACACTAAACAATGTCTGGGATCGAGTAAACCCTGACTAACAGTTGTCACCACAGTTCCACTGTCCCTTTTGGATGATTTCAGAAGAGATAAGTAAGACTTTGACTTGTACAAAAGTGCTGAGGTGTATTATTGGAGGAAGATGGCTGGGCTCAGCAGTCAGTCGCTTGCTAACGGTGAACACTTACTTTGCTGTTGCTCCTCACGTCCAGTCTGTGCCACAGTCTATCCGCTACGTTCACGTTGCCCGGCAACTGCAGGACCAATGTACCCGAGCCGTGGTTAATTTTCAGGGTGGGGGTGCCGTCGATCAGTTCTGAGAGAGAAGGACAGCGACAGACAGAGAGAGAGATGAGAAGAAAGGGTAGATATGTGGACAGTTAAAACACGGACACAGAACTATGAAGGAGTGGAGGATGGTTATAAAGACTCAACCTTGAGCATGTACACTGTCGAAAAACTACCTATTGAAAGCATTATATAAGCTCAACCAACAGCAGGTTTTTGACTAACAAATGTATCACATAAACTACCCCTTTGTTTCACATTACAGGGTCAAGTAAGCACTGCAGAGCCTGCCTCAATTACGATTATATCATCCTCTGGCATAATAGGAAAAACATATTAGAGAAAGTTCTTCTTTTTGTCTGAGTTAGTCGATTGGCAAATTAAAAATTAATGAAGCCAGGAAGACTCCCTTAAGCTTGGTATAGTCTGACTGTGAGTCTGAGCATACGGGAAGAAACGCCTCCAACTAATTTCACATTTGTCAGCAGGGTCTTTGCTGTTAAATAAGCCTTCACTTTGGCCGACATATCTGTCTTGTGTTTCACCAATCCGCTTTTCCAATATGTCTTCAAATTCTCCCTCTATTTTCTTATTTGTCATCCTCTCGATTTCTCCCTTTGATGCTGCACTTTTGTCATTTCTGTAAATAACACGTGCTTCCTCTCGATTCGGCTATGTCGCACTGTTTGGCGCTCACAGTCTGCTGACCGTGAAAGTGAACTTTCGCTGGGCACAGTGTTTTCTTTCTACTGTAATTTAGCAACACTAGATGCTTCTCAAAACACATGTACCCACTTCATTAGCTCAAATCAAATGACTGACTCTCCAGGCAGATTGTCCTGGCTAATTCCTTCACACCGTCATTAAAACTGGCTGATTTATGCCATCCATCTGTGCTTTATTCTTGCTGTCACTCTATTTCTCCTATTATTTCTTGCACAGAATGCTCTGGGTAGTGAATGCCTTCCATCATCCTCCCGTTTTAACCCATCCAAGCGGCTCATGAGTGCTGAGGGACTTTGTCTCGCTGTCTCTGTTGAGGGGGATGTTTGGTGTGCACATGCTGAGACACAAATAGAGCAATGGTGGAAATAATCGCTCAGAAGTACTGGTTAATAATATTGCTCTGCACTTTGCAGGTGTTAGCTAAGTACATATTTCAGTCACACAGTGTGTGTGTATATACACTGAACAAAATTATAAAAGCAACACTTTTATTTTTGCCCCCATTTTTCATGAGCTGAACTCAAAGATCTAAGACTTTTTCTATGTACACAAAAGGCCTATTTCTCTCAAATATTGTTCACAAATCTGTCTAAGTCTGTGTTAGTGAGCACTTCTCCTTTGCCGAGATAATCCATCCACCTCACATGTGTGGCATATCAAGATGCTGATTAGACAGCATGATTATTGCACAGGTGTGCCTTAGGCTGGCCACAATAAAAGGCCACTCTAAATTGTGCAGTTTTATCACACAGCACAATGCCACAGATGTCGCAACTTTTGAGGGAGCGTGCAATTGGCATGCTGACTGCAGGAATGTCCACCAGAGCTGTTGCCCGTGAATTGAATGTTAATTTCTCTACCATAAGCCGTCTCCAAAGGCGTTTCAGAGAATTTGGCAGTACATCCAACCGGCCTCACAACCGCAGACCACGTGTAACCACACCAGCCCAGGACCTCCACATCCAGCATCTTCACCTCCAAGATCGTCTGAGACTAGCCACCCGGACAGCTGCTGCAACAATCGGTTTGCATAACCAAAGAATTTCTGCACAAACTGTCAGAAACCGTCTCAGGGAAGCTCATCTGCATGCTCGTCGTCCTCATCGGGGTCTCGACCTGACTGCAGTTCGTCGTCGTAACCGACTTGAGTGGGCAAATGCTCACATTCGATGGCGTCTGGCACTTTGGAGAGGTGTTCTCTTCACGGATGAATCCCGGTTTTCACTGTACAGGGCAGATGGCAGACAGCGTGTATGGCATCGTGTGGGTGAGCGGTTTGCTGATGTCAAAGTTGTGGATCGAGTGGCCCATGGTGGCGGTGGGGTTATGGTATGGGCAGGCGTATGTTATGGACAACGAACACAGGTGCATTTTATTGATGGCATTTTGAATGCACAGAGATACCGTGACGAGATCCTGAGGCCCATTGTTGTGCCATTCATTCACGACCATCACCTCATGTTGCAGCATGATAATGCACGGCCCCATGTTGCAAGGATCTGTACACAATTCCTGGAAGCTGAAAACATCCCAGTTCTTGCATGGCCAGCAAACTCACCGGACATGTCACCCATTGAGCATGTTTGGGATGCTCTGGATCGGCGTATACGACAGCGTGTTCCAGTTCCTGCCAATATCCAGCAACTTCGCACAGCCATTGAAGAGGAGTGGACCAACATTCCACAGGCCACAATCAACAACCTGATCAACTCTATGCGAAGGAGATGTGTTGCAATGCGTGAGGCAAATGATGGTCACACCAGATACTGACTGGTTTTCGGACCCCCCAATACAGTAAAACTGCACATTTTAGAGTGGCCTTTTATTGTGGCCAGCCTAAGACACACCTGTGCAATAATCATGCTGTATAATCAGCATCTTGATATGCCACACCCGTGAGGTGGATGGATTATCTCGGCAAAGAAGAAGTGCTCACTAACACAGATTTAGACAGAATTGTGAACAATATTTGAGAGAAATAGGCCTGTTGTGTACATAGAAAAAGTCTTAGATCTTGGAGTTCAGCTCATGAAAAATGGGGGCAAAAACAAAAATGTTGCGTTTATAATT